AGATTTGGGGTTTTCATGAGCTGTAAACCATAATCATCACAATTATGACAAATCACGGCTTGATTACTTGCTTTGCATGTAATGAGGCTATCTCATATGTTAGTTTCACCTTTTAAGTTGCATTGCTGAAATAAATGAATTTTTGCACGATATTCTAATTTTTTGTTTCACCTGTATAGCAATTATAATTTTTTGGTATAAAAAGAAATTGTATTTACCTGACTTTTTGTTAAGTGGACATAACACATTCATTTCAGAACCAGCATTAACCTTGGCTGATATTTGAACTCTGCTTTCATAACTGGGAAAAGTAGGTATATCGTTTTTCATATTAACATTCTGCTCATGGTTTTCTGTTCCTATTTTTTTATTTTCATTTGCAGGACATTTCGTTTCCAAGGTTTTTTCAGGAATCTCATTTGCCATTATTTCACTGATTTGGGAAAGATTTGCAGGAATCATTGATTCTTTATCTACTGCCTCTACACAAGAATATCCATTTGAAATAGTTTTATTTAGTTCAATGTTGTTATTGCAGTTTTCACTAGTATTAAGATGACGTGAACTGAAAACAGTACTAGAATGTCCATCTTCTGAATCTTTCAGATTAGGCGCTGTTTCTGTGACCAGTTCTCTATTTTCGTTTGTTTTAGAATATATATTTTCAATCAAAATACCAGATTCATGCTCCTGCTCACTAACTTGTACAGGGCACTCTTTCATTTCTCCAGAGCTCTTCCTTCTGTTCAGTGACTCTACTTCAACCCCTGTCCTTCTGGACTTGGAAGATCTTCTAGACCTTCTAGAATGTGGACTGGAATAATTCTGAGTACTCTCCCAGCTAGGGTTTGTTTTGGGCAAAGCATTTTCTACAGATGTGAAAACATCTATTACGTCAAATTTGTTAAGGCACTTAGACTTTTCTGAATCGTCCAATGACTGCATACTTGTTTCAGGGAAATGCTGTGCGCTCTGCTGGTTGGCTTTAAAATGTGCATGCTTTCCCACTTCATCATCTTCTATGTTCTTAAAATCTGACTGATTTGTACCTTCACATTCTTGTTTTTGTCGTGTATCACAATTTTGAGTGTTTGGTGATTTTTCAGAATTCTTCTCTTCAAATGTTGGTAGTGGACTTGCTACAAGATCATGGTTTCCTTGAATTTTACTGTCTTCAGATTGTTCAACTTTAGTTGACTTTGCTCGACGCATTGCGGACCTCCTGGATCTTGAGTGAAATACATCTTCCAGCAAGGTCTCATCACCAGTATTTTCCTTTGCATTGCCTGTGCCTTCTTTATGCTTCATTAATTCATAGAGTTTGCTAAAAGGAGACAATTCATTTGCTTTTTCAACGCTCGGCGTTTTGCAATTAAATTCAGGTGTGCTATATTGTTTTTGAAGTTTTTTCTCATTTCTTTTAGGAGAGCAAATTTCAAATTTCTTGCCTACAAGAATATGAAACAGGCAGATTTTAAAATCAGTTTTCTTGAATATAGTTAAAAACTATTTTTGAAGCATTATACAGATAAAGTACTGATCAGAAAGTAATTTTTGAGGGATTAAGCAGACATTTACAAATCCTTAGAAAAAAGTGCTTCACAGCACACAGGGGTGTGTACAAAGAATCTCTTTTCAAATCAGTCAATTTTTTTCCAGCCTCAAGCAACAGCTTTGTAAACTGCTTCCAACAATATCCACATGCTTGTGACTTCCTACTTTGAAAATTTTCTCAATGGTAACAGCTAGGAAGTTTAGGAAGCAACTACATGAACCTGCAAAAAATATATGACTACTTTAGTGATCTTAAAAGGTGAGCCTTGGACAGAACTGCAGACATTACAATATACCCTCTTCAAAGGATTTGCACAATTCTATTAAGTTCAACAAATCAAAACTATAGAAGCTAAATTTTATTTGTAATTGCCTAACAATATAGTATAAATATACGCAAGCAGATTATTTGTAATTTTCCAAATCATTTTCCCTTAAGGAATAGATGTGTTCATAAGCTATGTTATAAAAGTTACTTAATGGACAAGAAAATATATGGGTCACTCTCTAAAATGTAATCAGCTATGAAATATTATTTCTAATATAATTTTAAGACTAGCCTGTTTCTCAACTCTTAATTATCATGGTTTAGAGCAGTGATGGGTAACCTTTTCCTTGTTGCGTGCCGAATGTACGGGCATACACGCACACCAACACTCCCGCGTGCCAGCACCCATAATGCAATGTGCGGCCTCTGCGCATGTGTGGACCCTCACGAACCTTTTACTCATGCGCATGCGCACACCTACTGTGCATGCTCCCCCCCCCCCATTTTGGACAAAACTTTTGCTGGCACAAATGGCCTGCTTTTGCAGAGGCGGCAGCAGCTCCTCCTCCTGGCAGCCTCACACTCTGGGCAGCATCCAGCCAGCCAGCCAGCCAGCAGGACCACGGAGGAGTGAACCGCCCAGCCTGCTGCTGGCATGCCTCCCTTACAGAAATGCCTTGCTCTGCCCATGCAGCCCGCCCCTCTCAGGGACCATAAGCTGGCTTGCCCTGCAGGGCCAGCGAAGAAAGCAGCGTCCCAAGTAACAGTGGCTTGCAATCTCAGAGCACTGCAGTTTGAGCTGAGCTCCACCATGTCCTCACCACACCATGCACCGTAGTTTGCAAATTGTTTTCTGAGCCTGTTAGTAACCTAGTTTCTGAGTATACTTTAAACCAGTGATGGCGAACCGATGGCACATGTGCCACAGATGGCACGCCATGGAGCCCTTTTTGCCGGCACGTGAGCAGTCGCCCATCGATTAAACCAAATCCATTCATGTATTTTAACAGCACATTCCCAATGGCTACTTTCATTTGTTTTACCACTGACTAGTAAATGCATCCTTTTTGTTAATAAAAAGTGATTACTACAATGAAGCATTTTATAGAAAAAGAACAAAAAAATTACCAACCAGTAATCGGAGAACTTTTGTAATCTGAGTTCTGCGGGTGCAGCAAGTCCATCTGTTGCATATGCTGAACATGAAGAATCTGTAAAATTAAAAAGAAAGGAATTTAATGTTTCTTTTAAGCTTGCCATTTTTCCTTGTAGAAAACATGAATGGCAGACCAGAGAAAATATCTTAATTTTCTACAGCCGAACACCAATATCAAATATTGTGTTTCCTCTGAATTATAGTTAAAAGGGTGGAATAGAATGACTAAAAGTGAAAGGTAACTGATAATGACCAATTACTAAATCAAGCCAAAGAGCAACACATCATTAATTTCTACATTTTATGACTGTACCCTTCCCCGAACTAAGAAAAACATAACGATTTTTATTTTACCTGTAATGTTTCCTTCTCTTGAGATCTAGAAAGTCTCTTCTGAGGAAGTGATGAACGTGGATATTCAAATCTATTCAAGAACAAAGATTGCTTACATTAAAATTAATCCAACTTTAAGACTTTTAAAAGTTATGAAATCCACTTTATTCAAAATTATTAGTGTTTTCATCTCCAATCTAGTAAAGTATAGTTTTAGACTAATAGTTTAGTTACTCTTTACATAATCTGTTTTCCTGTTTGGGCAGTTTTCTTATCAATCAAATTATTTTAAAATTTCCTTGATCTTCAGGTTTCTAAAAAGCACTATTTCTAGCACACTCATATTTGCTTATATCATTGTTACATACCTGAAAGAACGATCGATAATTGTAAGTATATCCCCATGTTTTAAGTGTGTGGGATCTTGAAAGAGAGTCCCATTTAGCTGTGTTGGGTTCGCAGAACTCAAATTAAACAGCACTGCCTAAAAATACATAGGAATAAAATACGTATATCCAGATCAATCAATAAAGCACAAGTACCAGAAATATTAGGATTGCTTAAGTACCAAAAATAATAATACATACCTCTTTATTTTCATTGATTTCAATTTTACAATGTTCTTTAGAAACTTGAGGAAGCTGGATTCGAATATCACATTCTTTTTTCCTTTAAAAAATAAAATAATTACAAGGTTATTAGTTCAAATTATTTAACTACGTTCTTATATACACATCTCTTAAAATATATTATGATCTCTAAATTGCTAATTCATTTCCACCTAACATAAGGCAATGCAGCTGTTGCTGAAGATGTATTGAGACAACCTGATTTTTAGATTGAGGTTTAAGAACTTCTTTAAAAAATGGTTAGGTTTTTGATTAAACAAATATCTTGCATAAATAATATACACTGAAGCAGATCAAATCCATTGTGAGATATACTGCACAACTAAAGAAATTATATAGAAGTCAAATGAAGGAACCCAGGAAAGTAAGTTATGACACTACCTAAAACAGCGGTTCTCAACCTTTGCGTCGCGACCCCTTTTGAGGAAAACGACTGTTAGACAGGGGTTGCTGAGACCAGCGCAACTCTAAAGTTTAGACTCCACCTCACGTTCCTTGAAATCCCAGTGGATGGGCTCTGGAATGGCCGCGCAGAGCGTCACCGCGGCTCCACACTGTAAAAACATATGTGCGCACACACAACCTGTAGAATTAGCCTCAGAGACTTCGTAATGGAGGGAAAGTATTCCTGCGAGGGAGGAAGGGACTTAGGTCCTACTCTGGGCTATAATTGTGTGGGGCATGCGCGTGGCTATGTTTTCCACACCACTGCCAGGTACTTTTAACTATATCTAAATC